AATTCACCTTGCTATTTCCTATTACCTATCTTTTTTTTTCTCTTCATTTATAATTCAGGTTTCACATATAAGAGAAAACACGTAATGCTTGAGCTTGTATGTCTGATTTATTTTACTTAACATTTTGCTTCAGGGTGTATCCATTTTCCTACAAATGTCTCAAGTTTATCCTAGTACTCTTTTCATTCTTCATTGTATGAAATTGAATCATTTCTTTCTTCTTTTTATAAGATTGACTAAGTGTTTATCAGTTTTATTCTTTTGAAGAACCTAGTCTTCAATTCATTAATTCTTTGTATTGTTTTCCTAGTCTCAATTGCACTGATTTGTATTCTGATCTTTATAATTTCCTCCCTTGTATGGACTTTAGGCTTGATGTGCTTTTCTTTTTCTAGAAGTTTGAGGTGCAACATTAGGTTGTTTATTTGTACTCCTTTTCCTATTGTGAAAATTCCCTCTATAAATTTCTCCCCTAGGACTGCTTTCCTTGTGTCCCACAAGTTCTGTTATATTGTATCTGCATTTTCATTTAATTGTAGATATTTTTTCATTTCTTCTTTAATTGTATCTGTGATCCATTGGTTGTTCAGGAGGGTGTTAATTTGCATGTGTTTATGGAGATTTTGTAGTTTCTTTTGCCATTAATTTCCAGTTTCATTGCACGGTGGTCAGATATTCATGGGATAATTTTAGCTCTTTTGCACTTAACATATGTTCTGTGGGCTAATATATGTTGTAGTTTAGAGAATGACCTATGTGCAGCTGAGAAGAATATGTATTCTTTTTTTTTTTCTTTATTTTTGAGACAGGGTCTCTCTGTGCAGTGCAAGCTGGCTTTGACCTCAAAGTGATCTTCCTGCCTCATCCTCCCAAGTGCTGAGATTTCAGGCATCCACGACCTTTTTGAATTCTTGAGATAACTTGACAAATAGGTAGTTGTGGAAAGAATTTTAATTAAGGGGTTATTTTTGGTACTAGGAATCGAACTCAGGACCTTGCACTTGCCAGGCAGGCACTGTGCAACTGAGCTATATCCCCAGCCCCAAGAATTTTAAATGTCAGTTGATACACAGTATCTCCCATGACCTGAGAAAGAGGCATTTGTTGGTACAAACTGACAAAGATTTTATAAGCCCAAGCACTTAACTTCTTTGATTATAAGGCCTATTTTTTTTCGTTTCTAAGGCCTTTTCTTTAATTTTACCATTGTATTATCATATATGTTTAAGTGGTATTTGTTTTTTTTTCTAGAATGTTGTTACTCAGTTGATGTTGTATCACAACCCATGAATTTAAAATGAAGGAAATATTATTTTCTGTTTTTATCCAGGGGCCTTTCTCTCCCATGAAACACACAACAGAATGGTAGGAGGTGTGTGCCCATGGACCTCATCTCCTTTGATTTGCCCTGATTTTGGGTCTTGCAGAAATTTTACTGGCAGAAGGGCTTGTTTCCCCAGAGAAGTGGGCAACCCAAATGCGTATGCATGGGAATTGGATAAACCATATGTGGTCTGTATATACAATGAAATATTATTCAGTCTTTTAAGAAAGGAAGTCCTGTCACAAGTTACAACATAGATGAATCTTGAGGACATTACACTAAGTGAAATAAGCCAGTCACAAAAACACATGTCTTAAAAACAGAATAAGGGGCTGGGGATTTAGCTCAGTGGCATAAGCGCCTGCCTTGCAAGTAGGCAGTCATGAGTTCGATCCCCGGTACCCATAAAAAAGAAAAAGACAAAAAAAGCAGAATAAAATGGTAGTCACTTTTTCCAGGAAAATAATACCATATAGTCCAGTCTAGTTTGTGAGCTGACTTGCTTACAGTTGTATTAGGTGTAGCTTTGTTGTATACTGGTTGTATTTATCAGGGAAATAAGCAAACACTCTGGCTGAATATGCAAGGATGGTAACTGCGTGTTGTAACAGACTTAGACCTAAGGAAGAGGGAAGTGTTGGGTTTAGGAGACCAGCCGGCCAGCCTTGGTTGGGAGTCCTCCATCCCCGGGTGTCCCTGGGTCTCAATAATGAGCACCTCAGCAGGGAATCGTGGCTGAAAGAGAAGGAACTGAACAGAAGTTTAACTGGGAGGATGGAACCAACCTATGGAGAGTGGGTTTGGATAACCCAGCTTTGTATGCATTTGTCACATAGTTAGAGTGAGTGATAAATTACGTGATTTGTTCTGTTTTTTTAGACAGCTTCTGGCTATGTAGTTCAAACTGGCCTTGAACTCACTGTGTAGCCAAGGTTGGCTTTGAATTTGCAGTGATAGTTCTGCCTCAGCCTCCCAGGTGCTGGGATTACAGACTTGCACCATCATGCCTGGCTCAAATTATGTGAATTTTACTTTAAAGAAAAGAACTGAAAATAATGATAGGGAGCTGAATAGGTAGAGGTGGAAATGAATCAAGAAAAGCGCATTTACTGAAGCTGGGTGATGAGTACATGGAGGATTATGACACTATTCTGTTCCCTTGTAAATATGTAGGCTTTTTTTTTTTGGTGCCGGGGATTGAACTCATGACCTCACGCTTGCCAGGCAGGCGCTTAAGCCCCTGAGTTAAATCCCCCCCCGACCTTGTAAATATGCATTGGAAACTTTCTGTAAAGCTTTTGGCCTTACTTTGAAAGCTTAACATGTATTTCTTTGACAAAATAATGTATTCATTTTGTGGGTTACTGCATTGTTTCAAGGAAAATGTCTGCACAGTCAGGTGTAATTTTGGCAATATGCCCTTTAATTCCCTTGCCAAAGGCAGTGACTTAAATTTGAAGCCCTGCTTCATCTGAGTGAGGCTGCAAAGTGTATAGCTTCTTCTTGGCTGTGCTGTTGCCCCTGCAGTCTGGTCTTTGCCCTCACTCAGAGGGATCAGAAGTACGCTCATCTCATGAATGCCACCCACTGCAGTTGGAGCAGAGCACCCACTTTGTCATGGCCCTAAATGGTTTAGACGGCTGGATTGTGCTGCTCCTGTTGCACTGCCCTGAGCAGCACGTGTCAGCCTGGATGGCTTTCTTTCGCACCCTCTGTGCATGCTGTCCTTTTAAGACTGGCTTCTTGTCATTCAGTCAAGGTTGGATTTGAAATGCAGTTTCTGAGCAGGGCCTCCTCTGGCCTCTGGCTGCACCAGCCTCCTCTCATCTTCCCGAAGCAGCCAGGCTCAGTGTGGCACACAGAGCAGAGTCTCCGGCCTCACCCAGGAATGTCTTCTGCTTTGTGTTTTGTGGGGAATGCAGTCTTGGGTCTCCTCATGGACTCTCTGTTCCCGCACTTGAAGATGTTCAGAGTGTGGGTCGAGGGTCAGTTTTCCTGTTTAACTGTGTAGGCTCGTCTGTTTCTAAAGGTTACTTGGTTGTTAAATTACCTGCCTAAGCAGAAGGTAAGCTCTACAAGCAGCATGGCCTCTTATTCTCAGCACTGTGCAGTGTCTGCACCTGGTGTGCAGTCAGTACTTACTGGATGAGTGAGAAGATGAATGGGTACAGTGTGTTCTTTGAACTATATAACTGTACAATACAAATCTCGATGGCTCCACCTGTAAAATTCGGGTTATTCTTATCTCTCAACATAATAATAGAGGGTTTTAAATCTTGTTCTTGGATACAGATAGTATTAAACCCATGTGATGCTGGACATGGTGGTACACATCTGTAATCCCAGCACTTGGGAGACTGAACAGGAGGATCACTGAGTTCGAGGTTAGCCTGGGCTATGAAGTTCACGGCATGTCTGTACTACATAGTGAGACTGTGTAGCAAGACAAGCAAACAAACAAACAAAAACCTATGTGACTAATACAGGTCCTTTTATTTATCTGCTTTTTAAGGCAATGTTTTTTCAGAAGCAGAGTTTAGGTTTTATTGAAGCCATATACACTGACTTAACATCATAACTATTTTTCTTTTTAGAATTTAAAAAGCATTCCAACTCAAACAATTTTCAGAGGTCTTTATCCAAAGTAAACGTTAGTTTGATATTTATATGATGGTTCATTAAATCAGAATTTAATAGTCCGTCCTTTAAAGAAAGAAAATAGGATTCTGAAAGTATTTTTTTTCACACCTATTTTATTTCAAGGATAAGAAGAAAAAAATCAACAAAATTTCAAACATGTCAATTGGGGCAACAGTGGTACATATGTTGCACATGGTCATCTCCAGATCTTTGAAAATATTAAGTCAAATGAAAATTTTCAAGTTAAATTTTAAATGAGAACTAATGTGGCATATGATATGTCAAGTTTTTACTTTTGAGAATTATTTCTTGGAAAGATCTATGGTTTCTGATACTATTCTACATATGCTGTTCCCAGGATGTTTCTTAGTGTGTAGGCTGGTGAAATTTTCCAGCAAACAATTTATCAGTTGGTGTACTAGAACCATTGGACAGCTCACACCAATAGCTTTCACCTCCTTTCAACATTTGGCCACAGCTGAGGTATTTTTGGTAGTCACAGCTGCAGCAGTGAGGAGTGCTTTTAGCATCTAATGGGTAGAGGCCTGAAAGCCAGGGATGTCGTTAACACTCTGTAATGCACCGACACCCCTGCTTCCCCCGCTCTCCATGCACACATGTAGAATAATCTGACAAAATAGGTCAATGGTGCCACTAAGAGACCTTTGCTTGAGAGGCCTTCTTCCAATGCTACACCTCAGAACAGAAATACTTTTTGTTACCTTCTGGAAAAGAGGATATATAGAAATGGGCCACTTAGGAGAATCAGAGGAGTATATTAGCACATCAGATGTGTTTATACTAGATTGTTTTTAATCAGCTGCAATATAGAAATCTAATGATTGATCTTTCACTTTATGAGTTACTATATAGAAAAATCTAATGATCTTTCACTTTATGAGTTACTCTTAAACAATAAAAGATTTTTAAAAGAAATTTGGCAGTTCAGTTGATCTTAGAATTGGATAACTCAATTTTACATTTAAAAAAATAGGGAATCTAAAATATAGGGTTACTGGTTTTCCTTATTTTACAGATGGGGTCGAGGATTTGGTCTTTTGGGTTCCATTTTTGGAAAGGATGGTGTATTAAACCAGCCAAACAGTGTCTTTGGACTTATATTTTATATACTACAATTATTACTTGGTAAGTATTTATATAGCAATATAAAAATAAATTTGTTATATTCCATTTAGTACTTTGTGCCTTTGCTCTAAAGTGTCTTTATATTAAATACAAACACATTAATGATAGAACCATTAGTCCATAGTGTATATTTGTGTTGTGAAAACATGATTCACTAGAATTTTCATGATGATAATGTTGAACTTGGTCAGTTGGTGTTTAATCATGGAGAGCATCATCTCATGATGTACAAAACAGCCAGTCCAGTCAAGGCAGCTGCTACTCAAATAGTCTTGTCTGTGTTTTTTTCCCTTACTATAAACTCCGTAGCTATTTTAAAAATCATATATTAAGAAAACATTAATAGTAAATCATTCATAATTCCATCACCTTTACATATCCAGTATTCCATTATCTTCTGCTTTTTTTTAAGTGATGCTGGCAATCAAAACTAAGACTTAGCTACATTGTTAGCCCTGTGTTGTTTTTAAAAATGCTTTTATATGATCTCTTGTTTTTAATGTGGTATTGTCTGAAGTATTTTGTTATTGTTGGCATCTGTAGCTCACGGTTTTTCATTTCCAGATAATGCTGCATCGGTTTTCCTTAAAGCCAGCTGTGCTCCTCCCCATACCTGTTGGAATTATTTTCACAAAATAAATTTCCAGATAGGGAGTTAATGAGTCAAAAAGCATGGATTTTTTTATGGGTGTGCTGTGTTTGGTTTTATTTTACTTTGGTGGCACCAGGGTTTGAACCCAGGACATTGGCACTGAGCTCCAACTCCAGCTCTTTTATGTTTTACTTTGAGACTACCTCACTGAATTGCCCAGGCAGAATTCTAACTTGTGATTCTCCTTCCTCAGCTTCTCAGAGTGCTGGGGTTACAGGGATGCACCATCATGCCTGGCATTTTTTATGGATTTTTAATAGATATTATCAGATTGCTTTCTCCCTACTCCTGGTTACCCCTGAAACTTCATCTAGTCTTCATTTTTAAAATGTTTGAGGGGCAGGGATACAGCTCAGCAGCACAGCACCTGCCTGGCAAGTGTGAGGTCATGAGTTCAATTCTAAGTATCAAAAAAAAAAAAAAAAGAAGTATTCTAGCTAGGGATTTAGCCTAGTGGCATAAGCACCTGCTTGGCAAGTGTGAGGTCATGAGTTCAATCCCCGGTACCAAAAAAAAAAGTTCTATAAAATTTCTAATAGTTACATACTAATAGCCATTATTTTAATTTTACTACATTTTAATTTCCTTTTAATGATACTTTAGTTATTGGGATCCCAGTGCTTTCTCATTTGTTGCAAGTAATTTATCCATTCTTTATACTTATATTTTTATTATATAAGCATATATATTTTTACAGGTAAATCCATCTATTTTTGTGTTTGCATTTAAACTTAATATTTTATTCCATTGTTTGTCAGTTTTTTCTGTGATTCCATTCATTAAATATGTAACTAATTCTTCTATCTGAAATTGATTTTTGAGACAAATTGTGAATGTGAATTTTCCTGAGTAATCCTGTTTGCCTATATCTATATGTGCATATTGTTTATCCTACAGAAACATAAAGCAGTTTACAAGGATATTCATAGCAGTACTGTTTAAAATAGCAAAAATTTGCAAGCAGCCTAAAAGTAGGTAATGATTGAATAAATTAGGACATATCTATAGTAGAAAATACTGTGTAGCTATTAAAGTAGGTCTTTATGCTACAAAGATTAAGACATTGTTCAGTGAGAAAAGCAAATTAAGGATTAATAGATATAGGGAAAATATTTATATTTGTGTGTGCCTATGCACTAAAAAAGATACGGGGTTGGAATGGAGAAATCTGACTTTTAAAAATTCCATATACTTGCTTCATTGAGTTTCTAATAAAAACTATAAAGCAGAGATCCAAATATAAGGGGATAGTTTATTTTTCCTACATAGGAAAAGAGCCTAAGAAAAGTCTTTGACAATATTAATTATGAGAGGTAGAGATGAAATTGTCAAATTTCAGTTTGTAAAATTAATATGCTAATTTCATTATTTATTATTTAAATGATTTGTAGTGTTTCCACTCATTTTCTGAAGTTGGTTTTAGACCGCCCCGTGTGCCTCCATCCCTGGAGCTCACCGGAGCTCATCCCACTGAGCGATGTGAGATTCAGCTGCTGCTTTTTCCTTTTTTTTTTTTTTTTTTTTTTTTTTGTCTTTTTCCTTTTTATCGGTACCAGGGATCGAACTCTTGATACGCAGTTTAGGCTGGCCTTGAGCTCACTTTGTAGCCCAGGTTGGTCTTGAACTCAAAATGATCCTACTGCCTCAGCTTCCCAAATGTTGGGATTACAGGCGTGAGCCACCATGCCCAGCTTCTTTCTTTCTTTACCTTTAATTTAAGCTTTTAAAGATATAATCAGTGCTAAGGGTATATTTTTCAGTACTTACTATGTAAACTAAAAGTTTTGGTTTTTGGAGTAGAACAAGTTCTTCATTGTTGACAAGGTTATTCCCAATTTGCAGAAGTGCTGGTGTTTTCCCCATGGAGATTTCATCATTTCATATTTAATTCCTCCATAAATAATATAGCCACATGGTTCAAAAGTTATAAAATAAGATACCATCCAGTAAAAGGTCTGTTCCACTCTGGTTAACTTTGCCTACATCTCCTGTTCACCCAGCTGGTACCTTTATGTTGCTGAGCTAGATTTCTCTAACCACATATACAGGAAAATACAAATATATAATTTGCCTCCCTTCTAAATTGAGGGCAGATGGTACATATACTGTTATGTTACATAGTTTGGTTTCTTCCCCCTTTGTCTGTCTCGGTGGTCTTTCTGTATCAGTATATTAAGTGTCTTCCTTCTTATTTTATAGCTGGAAAGCAGCCTCCTGCATGATTGTATCATCATTTATTTAGAATTATGGCACATTTTAAATGCTACTGGGAATTTTCCTCTAAACCACAAGTACCTGTTTCTAAATAATAGTATTTAGTAATAGTGTTTATAGTGCTTTTCAGTATTTTATTCTAGTTCATTTGATCATGCTTTATCCTAGCTCATTTAAATCTCACAACAGTCTGAAGTGGTAGGCTTGAGTGTATTCCTATTTTAGAGTTGAGGAAAAAGAGAAAAAGTAAATTTAAAAAAAAAATTTTTAGCACTTGGAACGCAGGGCTAGGCACTTGCTCTACCACTGAGGTAAAGCCCAGCCCAAAGAACCGCATGTGAAAGTCACAGTACAGGCAACATATTATGTCATTTAAAAACCCTTAGATAAATTAAGGTGACAGCAGTAAGTTTTGGAGTTTTACATGTTTAACATCATGAAATGAGCAAACTGGGTCAGACAAAAGATAATTTTAGGCTTTGCTGGTCACTACAACCTCTCAGCTCTGCCTTTCTAGTGAAAGCAGCAGCATACATTATATAAAAGAATGAGAGTGACAGGGTTTCAGTAAAGCTTTATCACAGGAGCAGGCAGTTGGCCAGATTTGCCATTGCTGGCACAAGTAACTCGGCACCTTAGTCTTGAGCCTTAGTAAAGCACAGTTTTCTAGTTCTCACCAACCCCACGCACAAGCTGAGGCCTGCGGCTGTGCTGCAGCCCGTAGACATGTGCTCTTTACCTTTTTTTTTTTGGCTAGCAGGCACCAGGATTTATGCTCCTTGATTGACATCTTCAAATCTGCATCACTTACTCTTACTCTTTTCCTGTTACCGTTAGAGAGGGAGTTTAATAGACTCTGCCTTCTCCTCTAGCCTTGAAAATAAATACATATATTGTTGGCTTTAAGAGATTACAAAACAATACAGATGAAGATAAAAGTCAAGAATTGAGCTTGTTTTTTGTCCTGAGAACCCTGGCTTAGCGCATGTAACTCCCTTTGTTTTTCTTCATCAGGTTTATTTTGACCCAGTTCTGGCTAGCTGGCCAAGAGTGGTTTCCCATACTACCAAGGGCATTAGCGGGCTGGGGCTACATTGTGTAACGAGCTCGTGAGCTTGCATGCTTTGTGCATATTCTTAACTAAGGCTCGCTTATGAAGTAAACAGTGTTTCATGTGAAATACTGATAAAAAAGCTTTTCAGCTGTAGAACCAGTGCTGTAAAGCCAACCTGTGTAACCTTAACAACATAGATATGTAGTTTTTCTTCTCAAATTTCCAAATTTTGCAGTAAGATCAGTATTCATGCACTGCAGCAAACCACAGATGTTCTCTCCAGTGTTGAGGCCCGATTGAGCCAAGCCTCTCTTTTCTCTTGCAGGCATGACAGCAAGTGCAGTGGCAGCTTTAATCCTCATGACATCTTCCATCGTGTCTGTTGTGGGGTCTTTGTACCTGGCCTACATTCTGTACTTTGTGCTGAAGGAGTTTTGCATCATCTGCGTCACCACATATGTGCTGAACTTCATTCTTCTTATCATCAACTACAAACGACTAGTTTACTTGAATGAGGCCTGGAAGCGACAGCTGCAACCCAAGCAGGACTGACCACCTGACAGACTCTTCCTGACAGTCTGAAATCCCTTTCTCCATTAAGTTTATTTCACAGCGGTTTTGTTTTTTTCACAACAAACACCCCAAGAATCTTAAACTGATTTTTTAAGATACTGTAAATTAGAAGGGGCCCTAGCTATTTTCTGTGTCAATCTTCATTTTAAATATGGACACAAAAAAGGATACGCCAAGCCAATCAAAGACAAGCTTTAACCTTACTTTGAAGATGTTTCTGATATAATAAAATGTAGCCCCAGCCCCCGTTCCTCAGTGAGCAACCATTGATAGTAATTCTTTAATGTGTATAAATTCAACTTCAGGTATAACAAATGTGATCATGACATGAAAATATTTTAGAATAGATAACTATTAAATATTGCCATGTTTACAATATGTAATATGTTCTTAGCTGATGGATTGAAACATGTAGATTCAACTAGAATCCATTTATGTGATATTTGTACATACAGGTAGAAATATTGGATCCATCTCTGCAGAACTTACTGTACAGTTTAGGTGCAGGTAGCAATGAGCAGTGGTCAGCTTGACGCTGACTGTGAAATAGTGAGAACAATAAGCCCAAAAGAGCATCTTGTGAGAAGTACTGGCAGCCGTGGGTGCAGCATCAACAGCAGAAGTAATAGGGGGTGAATTCCCTCTCACCTTGTTCTCAAAGGAGGCAGCTGTATTCAAATGTCCAAGACAAGTTCGGGGCTGGTCATAAAACTGGATCAATTGCAGCCTTAGAGAATGAGTGAGAACTTCAGGACACTGAAGTTGGGAAAACCGGTATATTCTTTGGGGGGAAAAAAACTGGAACTAGCAATATGGCATATTTAGGTACAGGCTCTTACAATACAGCTGAATTTTTAATGCAGATATTTTTCCTTGATATTGGTGCCACTCAACCAAACAGTATTATGATAATAACCAGTATAAACCCAGTCGCCTGAGTAGGTAGGATTGCTCTCTGGTACCTCCATAGTGTTTTCCCTAATTGTTTCTTTCTGCACTAAGGATTGTTAGTAATTGTTCAGTCAAATATTGAATCTGTAAATGTCAGGGCTGATGTGCAGCTCAGTTTGTTCAACTGGGAAAAGTCCTACCAGTAGAAGTATCTGAAAGTGAAACGCAGACATGTTGTCACTGCTGTTTCTGGCAGCACGAAGTTTTTGAGGAGATTTGAATAAGCCCGAATGAAATTGTGATAGTATGTTTCTGTGGTTAACATCTTCTATCAGAATGTTAAAAGTGCCTTCTGTCTTAAATCTCAAACCAAATATTTTGTGTGTTGAACTTGGGCAGAAGTGTCCTTCCTTCCTTACCATGAAGCAGAAAATTTGCACTCTCCAGAAAGGTTCTTTGTGACCATTTTATTCCTTAGATTGAGAAGTGGTAGCAGTGATTTTTGCTTCCAAGTAATCATTATGTTAAAAATAGTCAAATAGATTGGTAAATTCTGAGTGCTTTATTTGCCTTCGTTCTGAAGGGAGGAGACAGGCTCTGCTCTGTAAACTAAACCTGTAGAGCCAGCAGTTGTTCCATAGTTTACAACCTTCATAAAATTGACACATTGCACGTCTTGTGGCCCGATGCAGGTGTGAAATCTGAATGGTCATGAATTTTTAATGGGTTTTAACCAGTTTCTAAAAGATAGCTTAATTCAGATTTCATCGAGGCTTATGTTTTCCCATGAATGTGAATATTTCAATGCCTGTCTTACTCTGTATGTACTATTCTGGTGTTCTTAAGTGGTCAAAGAATTCTAGGAAGCACTGAATGTCTGGTGTTTGTGAAGAGACAAGTCCCCATGTTTGAGAACTGTACAGTAAGGTCATCTTGTAGCTGAGCACTCGGTTCTACCAAGGCAGTTGACTGGTTCTCTTTTCTAACTAGAGTGGAAATGGCTTAACAATGGAGACTTCTGTGATTTTATATATATCGCAGTTGTGCTAAACAAGTTCCCCATGTCCCAATTTCAAGTGTTTGTTCTTTGTATTTTGTATTAATCAGCAAAGTATAGTTAAAGCTTGTCTTGATGTTGCATTCTTGCAAATATCTACAACTCTTACATGAGAAAATACATAGAAATGTTCAGCCAGACCCTTCAAATCTTTCTTTTGCTTTCCTAAGCCTTGGGGGAACCACTGTTTCAGTATATAAAATTTTTGCCACATTCCTGTGACCCAATAGAATTCATACCCTTTTTCTCACTGAGAGATGAACAGGTGCTGCCGCAAATAATAGCACTTCCCGAAATGCCAGTGTCTTAGTAAGTAACAGAAACCCTGCGCGTGCTGTGTACTCTTCCGCCCTGGAGGAATTTAGGCTCTCCTTGCACCTTGGATTTCACCCCAAGTGGGGAAACAGCTATCAAACTTGAAGACTGTTAGGACTCTTTCCAACTGAGTGTTCAAACACTGCAGCATTGCTGGCCACCTATGTGGAAGAACAGCTTGAGGGGAAATTGGTCTTAGCAGTAATTCCACACTTCATGTTTCTGAAGTGGTTCGCAACAAATTAAGCTTCTTATTTACTTAAGTCATAAATATTTGAAGAAATAAGAGAAGCTATGGTTAGATGACAAGTTCTAGGGAGTCTAAGTGGTTTGGAGGATTTCATTTGGTTATTTCAGCTAGTTGATATCAGTGAGGGTAAACTTCTGAAATAACTCAGGTTTAACTAGCTGTGCACCAGGAATCACTCTGACTTGATCTATGTAGCCTCTCCTTAAATTCATTATTATTAAAGGATGCTAAAACCATTGATTGTTTTCATACAAAAAGACAAAAGATTTTTCATTTGGTACAAAGGATCTTTGGACCCACCAGAACTCTCTGTTGGCTTTTATTTGCTTCTTTTTCATTTGTATTTATTTTCAAAAGACTGGCCTTCAGAAAGTGCAAAGACATCTTGAGCAATCACTTTGTACCTAGATGGGCTGCTCTGCCTGGTGCCGCTGACCGAGGACAGGTGAGCTCATCTGGAAAGTCAGTGTTGGATGAACACCGACGAAGAGCCTGGTCTGCCCCTGCACCTGTCTGGAGAGCTGTGCCCAGTGTTGGACCTCTGTCCTATGCTGTCCTCCAGCACAAGTACGGGCGCAACATTTCTACTCAGACATTGAGGGCAGCACTTATGACTCCCAATCTGTGAGAACCACCCTTCAGTAAGGGTAAGTCCCAGCCACTCGGTTAAACATCTTTCGGACAAATTCGTCCAAGAAAGGTGAAAGTATCAAACTGTACTGAGCATGGCCTAAGTATTAGGTGTATGATCTATATAGTATGTTCCATCAAAAATATTTATTATTAGTGCTTTAAGCTCCTGAGTAAATGTTCATTTAAAATGGAGTTCACTGGGCAGATTTCCCCTTTAATATAGATAGAAATATTCTTTATCAGAGATTTAGGATACCATTTTGCTAACTGGTAAACAAAAACAAATGTAAATATGTAAGAATGTTTATTTGTTGCACATAACTTTTTTGGTATAAAATAAATGTAGAAGTTACCTGTGGAAGTTGTGCGGCCATCATTTTTGTACCGAAGTATTTAGTTTTAAAAAGCTAAAGTGAAGTCTTTTGGGATTCCCTCAGAAGCTTTAACATATGCTGGAAGTCGATACCATGATCTTACCCCTTCAGGGTGAGTCTTTTTCTTTTCAACCACATGTAACTTACAGAAAACACAGATTTCTCAAGGACTCTAATTCTTGTAGTTCCTGTGGATTTATCAAATGTGTTCAGGTCAAGGATGAATGACAGATGTTACTGCTTACACAGAATGTGCTAAGCAAAATGTTTTCCCATAGCTTTCCTTTTAGTATTTCTTATGGTCCTCTAAAGATGTCAGTACTTCATGGACTAGAACAAATGTATTTTATGCTAGAACCTTAAGACCTACAATATGGACTTTATTCCTAATTTGTAAAACATTTGTGTTTGTTACCTTTAATATTTTTAACATTTGCCAACTTAAGAGCATTATATATTCTTTGACATTAATTTTTATTTTTTGTTTTTTGAGACAGGGTCTCACTGTAGTCCAGGCTGACCTCAAACTCACTGTGTTACCCACACTGGCCTCAAACTCAGCGATCCTCTTGTCTTGGCCTCAGTGCTGGTATTACAGGCCTTACATGTCCAACCTGGTCTTTGGCATTACACTGAATCCAATACTTGATTACCTTAAAGAAATTAAGAGTTCAGTGGTAACATGAAATATGGTGCCCTAGAACTCCTAACTAAACTATTTCAACCGACTGTATTCTCTTATTTATAAAAATGGTCGTAAGATTCCTAATAAGATTAGGCAAAATTATCTTCCCTCTTTCTTTTCATGGAGCCTGGAAAGGAAGCTCTAAGGTGAGATGTGTTGGGGCCTGGAGATAAACATAAGAGTGGTGCACAGCGTTGTCACCGCAGTGGCATGGGTGGCTGTCTCCCTTGCTGGTGAGCATGGAAGCTGGTGAGCTGGTGGTGCTTTCCGAGGTGTGTTGGCCTTGAGTCTTGACCAGCTAACACTTGTCCTTAGGGAACTTGAGCTTTCCCACCGTGCAGCCCAAAGGAGCTGGGCAAGGCCTTGAGGAGAGACCGTTCTGGGCACAGGCAGTGGACTGCAGGGACAGGAATGCTCATGACCAGGCTGCCAGCCTGAAGTGGCTTCCTTGCACCTGTCATCCAGCTAGAATGGGGCTTAGGCTGGAACATGTCCGAGGAGAAGTGGTCACTGTGGAGTGCCCAGTCCAGTGCCAACACCTGCCTCATGTGTGTAGACCTGCCCAGCTGCTGACCCTGGTGAGCAGGCTACCCTACCCCTGTAATGTGACGACTTCTCCAGTCTGTTAGTGCAAGGGGGCAGGCTCCTGGAGAGTACAGTGGCCCATGTGTACACAGGTAAGGCCAAGAGGATGGCCTCGACACAAAAATGGTCTCCTGTACTTTTTAGTGGAGCCAAGTGCACGGCCAAAAGGCAGTCACTCATTGCCAACTCTGTTCAGGTTATAGAAAAGCTTTATTGTCACCTGTAACACCCCCTTCTAGCACACTAAAGTCCAAACCAGACGTGTTTTCAGTCTGCAAGTGATTGGCAGCAGAGGCAGTCCCAGCCTTATACGGTGAACGGGCTGCTCTGCAAACACAGGGACCTCAGCCCTGCGCTGGGGTCACGTGTCTCGTTGGCCAGCTGCCAGTACCGGTCCCGCAGCAGGAACGCTGCGCTCTTCGGCTGCCTCTGGCGGGTGAAGATCCCCTTCTTATTCCCTACGACTCTCTGTGGTGCTGAAAAATGCAGTGGGAGGAGGAAGTCACCCCATCACGTGACTGATGTGACAACCTGGGGCCACATGGGACAACTTGGGCACAAAGCACAAGTGTCTGCTCAGAGGTTATGGCTGTTGGCTAGCTTTTCCCGTCCCCAGAACTGGAAACTAAACCTAGGGCTTTCACAATGAACTACATTCCTACCCCCACAACCCTTTTTAATTTTTTTCTTTTTTTTTTTTTTTGGTACTGGGGATTGAACTGATGACCTTGCGCTTGCCAGGCAAGTGCTTGTGCCCCCGAGCTAAGTCTCTGGCTTACTCATTTTAATTTTTGAGGCATGATCTTGCTAAATTGCCCAGTGGAGCTCAAACTTGTAATCTTCCTGTCTCAGCCTTACTGGACTGTGGGCATGCACTAGTAGTTCTTAAATACTACTTCCTGGTATGTTAATTTGTAGTCTGCAAGGTGGTAAAATAAATTTATTTATTCATTTATTTTGGTTTTTTGAGACAGGGTCTCGCTCTGCAGTCCAGGCTGGCCTTGAACTCACTAGGTAGCCCAGGGCCACCTCAAAGTCATGCTGATGATCCTTCTGCCTCAGCCTCCCTGATATTAAGCTGTGTGCCACCATACTCGGCAGGGGTATAATTTTAAAATTTATCTTTTAGTTGCAAATGAGGCTTAGGAAATGGGTGCCCAGCTGTCTGATGACAGGGGTGGGACAGTTACCCTGGAAATGGGTGTGGCCCTATGAGCACTGTCTCTTGGAAACCCAGAGGGGACTTCCACAGGCCTGGAGCCAGCCTCCCATAAGGCCCTCTCCACTGACAATTGCTCTGCCAGGGCAAAGCTGGCCAAGGCCTATCAGGAGGCTGCATGTGTTATGCACACCCCCGCCGTCCTTCGGAGAACCCACAGCTGAACCAAAAGGTTAAAAAGCAAGGAGAGTCCTCCCACCAAAAGGCTGAGGACTGCGTCCAGCCAGGCCCAGCGGTGAGTGCCCATCCCAGCGCCTCCTGATGGCACAGCTGCTTGAGCTAGGAGTTTGGAGCATTTCATCCAGGAAATCCTGACAGTGACGACTACTGTCCCCTCTCACCTGTCCATGGCTCACTACTCAGAGCTGCTCAGCTCCTTAATCACTGTATAGCCACAAAACTGCCCAGCCCTTTCCAGACGCCAGTGATCCTACTTGCTAAGCAGAGAATGGGTTTGCGTCCTCATTCTGTGTTCTCTATACTTCTTCCCATCTAGTCTTTTGTTGTTCATTTATTCCCTTTCCATTCAAATTTGTAATTGACACTTCAACTTCTCAATAGCCTGTCTTTCCCCAAAATATTAGAATTCTCAGGCCGTATCTTTCCCCACTCCCTGAAACTGCCATCCTATGTTACCAGGGACCTAAGTCTGCAGTAAGTCAAGAAACAAAACTTAGGCCAGATATGATGGGAATACCTGTAATGCCAGCCTTCTAAAAAGGCTGAAGCAGGAAGATCACACATTTCGAGTCCACCCTGGGCAAATCTGGGAAGAATGTTTCAAAATTTATTCATTTATTTATGGTACTGGGTATTGAACTCAGGACCTTGTGCTTGCCAGGCAGGCACTGTGCCACTGTGCTATATCCACAGCCCTGTCTCAAAGTTTAAAAAAGGCTAGGGACAGAGCTCAGTGCAAAGGCCCTGAGCTCAAGTCCCAGGACCAAGAAGTATTTAAAAAGGCTAGAAATCTAGGTGTACAGGAAGCAGGAAACACTCCACTGGAACTTAGAGTGGCCCTTGTCTATCCCCACTTGAGAAGACTTTAAAACACTCCCGCATTGCCAGTGCTTTGGAATTTGTTTTCACTAAGGCTGCTTTTTAAACTCAGTAACAAAACAGACTGCAGTATCTTAGGTTTCTCAGGCACTATACCCTATCCTGGGTGATGGGTGACTCAGGTCCAGTCTGAGGTCCCACTGTCCTTTGCGCTCCTGTAAGGCAAGACAGCCATTCGGGCCTCAGGACAGGAGACTCGTTTGCTAGGGACAGGTTCCCGCTAGGTTGTCCAGGCGGGCCTTGAGCTTGCTATATCACCCACGCTGGCCTGGACTCCATCTTCCTGCCTCAGTTTTCTGAGTGCTGGAATTATAGACATACCAGTCACCACTCCCAGCTCCCATTAGCTTTTTCACCAACAAATAATTTGAGAAGCAAGATTGCTTTGCTGTTGCGAAACACAGCTATTCCTGGGAAATTCTCTATGCAGCCTTCATTGCTTAAATCATTTTCTAAACCTTTAATTTCCAGTATTCTCACACTTAGAAACCCAGAACTGAACAGCCAACCTAAAAAGCTCGGAATCAGTAGGATTCCTAAGCTACGCTGCCACTTACACTGGTTAGTCATGAAATCGGCAAAATTCCAGATGAGCTCCCCCACCACGTATTCTTTGCGCTTTTCATCCAGAACTGCGTGGTACCGCGCCAGCAGGTTCTTCTGATACTCCTCGCTGAACATCAGAGGTGGGTCCTGGGGTTCAAGGCCAAGAGAACTGGACACTCAGAACCAGCAGAACTATAAACGTTAGATAAAAATAATGGTGCCCTTGACAATAACCAAAACATCTGCCCTCTCAGTGGGCCGTGGCTACTGCTCGTGGGGCTTCCCACAGTACTACAGTGAAAAAGCGGAGTACGGTGTAACCCGGGTGAGGGCAGTTTTTGTCTTACTCTCCCATCTCGCCAGTCTTAAAGCTAAACTACACTGAGTAACAAAGCACGTCTCTACCTCCGGTTTCAAGGAGCTGCTAGTGTGTGACTGGAGGAGTGGTGTGAGTGCAAACTCACCCTAGCTGGTCTGGGGCAGCTCATCTTGCGTCTGCAGCCCATGGGCACCGAGACAGTGATAAACAGGACAGGCAATGTCACCGGGAGGCAGGAAGACACAAGCCGCAAGGAGCGTGTGTGAACAGCACAGAAGCAGGGCACAGCCAGCAGTGGGGCCAGGGGAACAAAACCCTGCCGGCTTCGCTTGCTTTCCAGCGAGAAGGACTAGAAAGCCCAGGAGCTGCCCTGGAAACGCCACTGCATGATGGAGGCACCTCTGATCCAGTTCCCAAGGTGAAATCGAGGTGGAGCAGGATGGAAATTTTCTCCCTTTTAAAGGAAATGGACCTGCCTATCGGATAGGACAGCCACCAGCCACACATGGTTGTTTAAATTCATGACGAACTGGAAGTGAACTCAGTCGTACTTCACGTCCTTAGTAGCCTCATGTGACAGTGCAGACAGGGAACATTTCCATCAGTTTGGAGTCCGTTACCTCTTCAAGGAGGAGCACACACCTGTGCATCCGTGGCTAGGTCCCTGTTTTACTCTCAGCACCCATGGCATTCTGGGTCAGCCAGGAAAACACAGCACAGACAGGCCTCATCTAACAACCAAGTTCCACAGCTGTGACTAGCTTGTTACGTGAACTGCCCCTTGATGAGGAACTGGAGATCATATGTATGATATGCCAGACCCTGGAGCAGTGGGAGGGAGGCCGGTGACCCGGGACTGAGCGGAAGCAGCAAAGCGCCCACCGCTCACCTCATGTAGTCCTGGGATGGTCTCGGCCCCGTACTCGCTCTGGATGATCGGCTTCTGATAGGCACGGTGCCAGTTCTCGAACTGCGTTCGCAGCTGCAGCTCAATCACCTCCAAGTGCCCATAGTCGTGGTACCAGGAGTAGTAGCTGTTCACGCAGATGACGTCCACGTAGGGGACCTGCGCGAGAACCACAAGCCTGTAAGGAGCAAAGGCCAGAAGCACACTTAGCAGCAGCGTCCCTTCGGCGGAAGATGATTTGGGCTCAAGGGCTGGGCACGCAGCTCAGTGCAAAGCCGTGGGTTCAATCCTTGGCAACGCCCCTCCATGCATGCGCACACAAATGCACACGCACAAATGCATGCACACATGCACGCACACACACACACATACACAGCTCATCTCCAAAGCCTGCGCTGGGACCAATGTCTTTCCCCGCAACCACAGCCCCTTTCTGGGCGGTGGCAGAAGGACTCAGGGAGAAGAAAGCTGGGGAAGTCCACGGGTCACAGACCACGTAAATCCAGCAGGCCCTGGGGAGACCAGGTGCCACCTATCACAGGCCACTTCCTGCCACCATGGTTTCAGCCCCGCCACTGTGCTGATCCACAGGGTGTTGTGTGAGGCTGTCTACACCCATGTTGGCTTTGCAATTTCTTCAGTATTCTCGAACCTCCTGCTTCAGCCTCCCAGAGTGCTGGCCCCACAGGCATGCGACACCACGCCTGGCTCTCGGTTTGTCATCCATGCCCACTTCTCTTCCTGTGGTGTGGCTGCTTCATCACTTCCTTTACCTCTCAGCTGAAGAGTACTTTCCCAATGCTGTGTGTGCAGCTTCAGCTCAGCCCCTGTGAGGCCAGGCAGGGAGCCCCGGGCCTCGAAGTGCTATGTGGCACGGACGGCCTCTGCACCAGAGTCAGCATTGTCTCATCGTGGCTCTCACAGCTGCTTTGTCACTGGAATCACTGGGGAGTTTAACTCAGGCTTCGGCCAGGACTCATTAACGCCCAATCGCGGTCCTGAGCTCTAGACTCGGGAGAGCTCACTCAGCAACTCTGCTGATCAGAGGTTTCAAGAAGGCCAGGCGGATAAACTTCTGAGCCCTCATTAAGCTGAGGTGCCAGTGCCAAGTATGAACAGTGTCCACTGCTCTGCAACAGCCTCCCTGGGTCTAGATGCCACCCGCCTGAGGGGAGCTATCAGCCCAGAGAGCACTGTAGCCAGAGCATGGCACACCATATCCTCCCAGGCATGGGGGACCTGAATGACAGACCTGGGGGACAGTAGACGCAGCAGGGACCCCAACTCACCCCCAGGTCCATTGCATAGTTGGAGTTGGTCACAAAGGTCACTGGCCGGGAGGGATCCAAGGCTTTGGTGTGGGTGATCACCGTCCTGTCACAGAGGGCAGAAGACAGAGGGCTCCATCAGCATGTGGGGCTCTTGGCCTACCGGTGTCCTCTGCCCCCAGGCTCCCCGAAAACCCGATTTCTTGTCCACAGAGTGGCTTTAATCCCTGTACCCCGGAGGCTGAGGCAGGAGGATCCCAAGGTGGAGCCCAGACTGGGTGATTTTGCAGTTTAACAAGATCTTGTCTCAAAATAGGTACTCAATGGCTGAGAAAAACAAATAAATAAAAAACAAAACAGGGTTGTATCTTATTGGATTTTATTATATGTGATAGTATAAACAAAATTTTTTATAGACAAGGAGATAATATAGAAACCATTGTTCATTTTCTGTTAGTTGGTTCTAAATACCCTGTAATACTTTCATTCTCTTGAATGGTTTTACACTGTCATGTTGTGTTTGATGCTATAATATATGAAGTTATACTCAAATATTTCAAGGAAAGAGACACTATGGTAGCTACTGTTATGCTGGGTTATCTTGAGGTGAAACACTATGTTGCTTAAATTGTTCTGCTCTGACCTGTGATATTATGTTGTTATGTCCTCTTTTATCTTAATAATAAAATATCTTAATTATTATCTTTAAATAATAAAAAAAATTTTTTAAAAAAAAGCTCCCCAAGGCTGGGAAGGGTGCGACGTGAACATGCATGGCAAACCGCTATGCTGCTAGGCAGGCTGCGCTTGCTGGTGCTGGGGGAGGGGACACAAAAGGCTCAAGGATGACACAGGGGAGAACAACTGGCAGCAGGCATCAGGGAGGGGCCACAGCGCATCCTGAGACTAGGGGGCACAGCATGTAAAGCAGTTAGCCCAGGAAATGGCAGAGCAAGGAGAGAGAGGAGACTCGTGACAGAGGACCAGCTTGCTGCAGGGCAGGGTACCGCATGGCTCCCAGCACACAAAGCTACTCCGCTGGCTCCTAGGTACAGGCCAGGCCAGGCCAGGGCCGGGGTGCACAGGGAACTCACTTGAAGTAGTAGCCTGCGGGCTGCAGGGAGGAAGAGGGCTCGTTGGCCACTGACCACATCACCACCGCCGGGTGGTTCTTGTCTCGCCGCACCATCTCCTCCATCACCTGCAGGTGGTGCTGCAGGGACACGTTGCCGAAGCTCTCACTGCACGAGGGCAGAGAGGGGAGAAAGTGTGTCACCGCCAGGGGTTACTGTCCCCAGGGCACAGAGGCACGGGAGGCAGGCACTCACGCCAGCACAATGCCCACGCCAGGACACTCGTCGATGACTACGATCCCGTAGCGGTCGCAGAGCTGCATCACCTCCTCTGCATAGGGGTAGTGGCTGGTGCGGAAGGAGTTGGCCCCCAGCCAGCGGAGCAGGTTGAAGTCCTTCTGCAGCAGCGCCCAGTCAAAGCCCTTGCCCCGGATCTAGGGTGCACAGCACAGTGAGCCCCGCCCACTGAGGAAGCCGCACCTCACTGCCCACCCAGCCTGTGCAGAAGCCTTATGGTGTGGGACTGAACCAGGGCCAGTGCACTGAACTACATCCCCAACCCTTTTGTAATTTTTATTTTGAAACGGGTCTCACTAAGTTACCCAGCCTGAGGTTGAACTTGTGATCCTCCTGCCTCAGCCTCCCAGAGTGCTGGGATGACACCTATGCACCACCACACCAGGCTTATTGATTGAAGCAGTCTGCTTACATGTGCCAAGCTGTGCTCCGTGGCTTCGGGTGCCAGGAGAAGGGGGAAGGAAATGACCAGGAACACCCCACGCAGGGGCTTGGGACCCCCAACTCACATCCGAGTCCTCATGCTTGTTGACACCATGAAAGTAGAATGGCTTCCCATTGATGAGGAACTGACTCTCTGTGACGGCCACAGTGCGAATCCCAACGGGAAGCGTGTAGAAGTCGGTCATGGGTCCCATCCCAGTCTGTGCCTTCATCCTCACCTTCAAGAGCCATGGACAGGCCTGAGCCCACCCAGGCTGCCCCAGCACAGAGGAGCCCCTCCTCTTTTCCGCTTTTTTCAGATGAGGTCTGGCTATGTTGTCCAAGCTGGCTTTGAATTTCTAGGCTCAAGTGATCCTCCTGCCTCAGCCTCCCAAGTGAGGTACCCTATATCACAGTGAGCTGGGAAGGACCTTTGTGATCACTTTTGGGGCTACAAACAGAGATGCAGCAATCATAATCCCTAGCTCTGACCCTCTGGGCCTGCTCTTCAAAGATTGGCCTCCCCATTAAGCGCAGGAAATTGAGAGTACTCCAGGGACCCTGCCCACCTATCTGCTAGTCCTGGGCCACCCGATGGGGGCAAAAGGCCTCCCTCAGTCCTGGACTTGAACCACCATTACCTCCAGTGAGTACAGATAGGCAGGGTCCTCGTGCATCAGGTAAGGCCACCAGAGGTGGGCATTGGGCACCTGCAGCTGGCCCTCGTCTCCTGTCCCCTGGGCTACAACGTTGCCTTCCATGTCCAGGAGTCGCACTTGTAGCTCGAAGTGTTGGCTGCCCTGGATGACAATCTGATAATTCACCAGCCCTACAAGAAACAAGATCCAGGCTGAAAGGGGGTCATGACCTGGGTCACCCTGCAGCCACCACTTCATGAGGTTCCCTTGGACCCCAACCCCCAGCAGATGCCACTTGTTTCCCGGTGACTCTCTGGCACTGAGGAAGGAACCCAGAGCCTTTGCACTGAGCTGAGTCCCCAGCCCTTTTTAAAATGTTTTATTTTGAGACAGGGCCCTGCTCAGGTGTGAAGCTGCCCAGGCCAGGTGTTTCCTGAGCTCAGAGTGCAGTGAGGGCAGACTGCAGCACTGTGGGGAAAGACCCCACTTCCTCCTGGGCCCCACTTCCTCACAGTGAGGCCCCTGCCAGCTCCTAGCAGGATGGAAGCCTGTGGAGGTCAACACACGGACAGCATGTTTCTCCTTTCTGGGGGAGCTTTCCAAACAAGGATCAGAGCTGCTCTGGATACAGCTGATGACACTTCCCACCAGCAAAACGTACCAGTGTCCTGGTCCACGCCTGTGGTGACCGTGATGTCATTGATGTAAACAGTAGGTGTGGTGTAGAGCAGCACAGGCCGGTGTAGTCCCGCATAGTTGAAGAAGTCAAAGTTTGTGTCCTGGACGAAGTAGCCCTTGGGATACCTAGGGTGGGGGACAATGCCCAGTGGTCCTCGGTCTCCCTGACCTCCCGAGCCCCCATGCCTGGGCTCTGCTAAGGCCACCCTGTCCCTGTCCAGCAGGGAGATGCCCCTCACTTGGAGGTATCGGTCTTGTAGAGGATGGTCCCTGGCGGCAGGGTGTGCGGGGTGAGGGTGTTGTTGATGGCGATGGTCACACGGCAGGAGGACAGGGGCCCTGTCTGGACCAGCTTGCTGATGTCGGCCTCAAAAGGGAGGTGGCCGCCCTCGTGCTCTGCCACATGGACCCCATTCACCCACTGAGGACATAGGAGATACAGGGAGAAGAGGGAGAGGACAGTGGAAGGGCCCAGTGACGGGATGGGACTCCCAAGGAGATCAGTCACCCCTTCCCCCTACCCGGGACACTGACTCCAGTGTGGAACCCCCAGGGCCAGCCCAGAAGGCAGGTGGGCAGGTGACAGCACCCCTGCATTCGCTCCGCAGCCATGACAGCCCCTCTCCCTGCCTGCTGCTCCTGCACTGACCACAATGGCGTAGTAATGGGCGCTGCCAATCCTCAGGACCACCCTTGTGCGCAGATCCTGGGTCCATCGCTCGGGCAAGACCACTTCCCGCTCGTACCACACCCAGCCCACGAAGTTTCGCAGCTGCCCATCTTGGCCCACGTCGTTGAAGCTGGACGGCACAGGCATGTCCAGGGTGGGACCGGACTAGGGAAAGAAGCGCTGGGCTCAGGTCTGGGTACTCAGCCCTCCCCGACCACTGCCCTTGGCAACTGTAGCCGCAGCACCTCGCTCAAGCCCCGGCTCAGAGGCACACTATCCATACGCTACTGGCTGAACAGGTGTCACATAACTTCATCAGGCTCACGCGCCAGACTGTAGGCTGGTGTTAGATTGCACAAAAGTACTTCCTCATGGCACAGAGCACCAGGGCCGAGGTGCCCACAGACAAGGGCGAGCCAGGCCACTGCCCAGCCTGCCCGAGGCAGGAAGGGCCAGACCCTGACTAAGCGGCAGATGGTCAGCAGCCACGCAGGAAAGTGTGGTCTTGGCTGGGCCGACAGTGCCCCCCACCCCGCCCCCGCTCCACTTCCTCCTTCGTGACCCCTGGACGGCCGCGCTGAAACAGAGTGCACGCGGCCCGGACCTGCCGCCGGGCAGTGGGGGCAGCGGGGGCAGCGGCAGAGGGAGCTCGCGGCGGCGTGGTCTCCTCCTCCGAGACGGGAATCCCGGGGCCAGAGTGCCCGCATCAGCGCGGCGGGCTCAGCTCCCCTCCCGGCCCCGCGCCTCCACGCCCGTGACTGCCACCTCCGCCGGGCCGACAGCCCCGGGGTGCAGGCTGACGGGCTTCGGGGCCCCGCACCTCGCGCAGCGGCCGCTGGTACCACTGCTCCACGAAGCCGCGGCGCCGCGCGGAGGAGAGGTCTGCGCGGAAGCTCCAGAGGCCGTCGAGCTCCTTGCGCTCCCGCGACGGGCTCTCGCGGGGATACAGCATCCCGCCCTGCAGCGCCAGGGCGCTCGCCCAGAGCAGCGCGCACAGCGCGGCCCAGCACCAGGCCGGCGTCCGGGCCATGATTCCTGCGCCGGGCCGCCAGCCGCCGCGTTTGAGCCGGGCGCGCGGGGCGGGGCCTCGGGGGCGGGGCCTCGGGTCGGGTCACGTGTTCTGGCCGGAAGCCTCTCGCGCCATTTTGATTGGGGCGAGCGCCAGAACTAGAGGGCTCCTGAGACGTCAGGGCTCTGATGCCCTTTGGCCCATCCCAAAAGGGCGGGAACTCAGACCGCCCTCTCGCGGACTTGTCCAGGTCCCCGCCTTCCCCACCCAGGGACTGATTCTCCCTAGCCGACGCTAGGCAGAGATGAGGTACCCAAGGCGGGACCTCCTAAGTTCTCGGCCGCAGGGACACTGCGACCTCTCAGCCTAGCGGGGCCGCGGAAGGGACCAGGAGACGCCTCCTGCAGACCTTGGGTCTGCCTTACCCAAAGATACGGGGTGAAGGCCAAGGCCTGGAGGTGGGGCCCCTAAGTCCTTAGGGGATGCAGACGTTGGCCGAGTTGCACAAATGTTTGCTTTGCTCTGGCTTCGTGCTCACTAAAGCAGCTTTCGGACTTTGATATTGAAAAGGGAGGAAGATACGACAGGAAGATTGTATACAGGAGCTGCAAAAGTATAATGCTTTTCCCAAACGCTTATAAAAATAAGCGGTTTGTAATCCAGTGGTACAGGGCGTCCAACTGATATCAGGGAAATAGAACTCTCAGCCTGGTAGATGTCCCAGAGGCCGAGTTTGTAGTTCCCAAAGTCAAAGAATGATTTCTAAGGAAAGACCGAGGTTAAGAATAAGAAACTTTACTGGGAGAGAAACAGCTCCTTTAGGGGACCCAGAAAGTGGGTTCCCAATGAGCCCACTTCTTAAAGGAAATTTTACAGAACAAAATCATGAGGTGGGTATAAAATCACCAGGTGAGTACAACGTGGGAAAAAACTGTGATCAGCAAGTAAGAGACCAAGGAGTCCCTTAGGTAATGTTGATCCAAGAGGGAAGCAAGTCATGAAGCAAGTGCTTCTGGGAAGAACCAGGACCTTTGCTGGAAAGAGGTGAGTAGAGGATCCTGGTAACCCACCCGAATCACCGGGACCTATTTAGAATATCAAGTATAGTTATATTGTTTATACATCAGGGAGTTATGCAGGCGAGGTCATTCCATCTTTATCTTGAGGCCTGGCTTCTAGGCACAGTTGAAACATGTTCTCTTCTGCACTTTCTTCAGGGATTTAGTCCTGTCTGACTGCCTACAATATTTCCACCTAATTTAGCTGTCTGTTATATCAACACTCTGGGAAACTGAGACAAAAGGATCATAAGTTTGATCCTGTTGTACCCCAAAAATGAGCCCCCAAAATGGTGTCCAAAAAATGGGCAAGACGTGTATTTTAAAGAAAAAGGAGGAGAAGAGAAAGAGAAAGGAAGAAAGAAAAAGAAGGAAGGATGGAAAAGAGACCCAGAGACAGAGAAAGGAGAAAAAACCTTCAACCTCTGAACTTGTGAGCCTGGGAGCCAGACTGTGGTCAGTAAAGCCCATCCACTAGGTCACTTCCTTCTCCGGGATTGTGAACCCTGTATTCATGTGTATTTCAATCTGGAAATGGAAATTTCCAAAGCCAGGAATATAGTTAAAAACACTGGAGTGGAGGAAGTCACTCCCTTCAATCCATCTAATTATTTATTTTGGTACTGGGAATTGAACTTAGGACCATGTGCTTGGAGGGCAGGTGCTTTGCTACTGAACTAAATCCTGGCCCCATACATTTAATTTTAAACAGTACCCTAAGACATTCTACACTTTCCTTGTTGTGAGAGATTTAAAAAAAAAAAAAAGGAACAGTAACCCAGGAGATCTCTGATGCTCCAGGTGAGAGGACTTTCGTGTTGGATCTCTTGGCCCAGTGACGACCGACCTTTTAGTGTTTTCAGTGATACAAACAGTAGGCTGTGGCAGGCATGCCACGCGTGTCTCCGACAGTTTGGTCTTTATCCTCCTCTGACCTCATTAAGGCTCATAAATATGCGCTACATGTCGTGCATGTAATTAAGATTAGAGTGAATTCTGGGACAAGCATTTCTGTTGCAAGCCCCTGAGATAACACAGCACCCTGCCAGTCACACCCGGAGATTCAGTGGGGCGCACCGGGGCGGATGTGCAGAGCCTTTAAATTCATAAAGCCTGATTTATGGGCAGCTGCTGCTGGGCACTGTGCTCTGGGTGCAGGACGTTGACTTTCCTGTCACTTTGACAGCGCTTTTCTATTTGTACCCATCTTGGTACAGACGTGCCCTCAGCACAACTTCTCCGGGCCTTCTATAAATGTTGCTGCTTTCCACTCCCCGCCCCTCCTGCATGCGCATGCGCTTTGTGTTCTTTGCGTGCCATGCGCAGGAGCGTGGTTTCCACCAGCGCATCAAAGGGCAGCGCCAGCACTGACAGTGGTTGGTGTCACCGGGGAGTGAATGTAGGCAGAGTGGGGCCCAAATATAAGCCACAGGAGGCCCCAGTGTGTTGAGACCAGGCCGTGAGGGGACAGCATGAGCATCCCACAGCCCTGTGGGTCACTGTAGACTCCTGGGCACATGGCCTCAGGATCTGCTGCCACCCCCAGCCCGCCCCTCACCTCAGCTCCTCAGACACGTTTTGAACACCTCGTTGGCCTAGCTTGTTTGGTTCCTGGCCGTTCATGCGATGGACCTAGATCTTCGAGCTGGGCCAGGCCAAGCCTTTGAATGACCAAGAAGCCCCCGCCTTGAGATGCTAATGCTCAAGCCGCCTTCTGAGCTGAGCCCAACCGGAAGCTGCCTAAAACCTTGCTCACCTCTGCTGAACATCCCTGCCTTGAGCCCTTCCCCAAACTTCCCGAGACTGAGGCAGCTCCCAGTCCCTTCCTTATGACTCCTGGGTGACTGGCAGGGTTTGGAGCTCGGGCTTTTCCCTCATCCCAGAAGCTCCTCCTCTTTACCCATGACTGGAAAACTCTGCTCATCCCTGGCCTAATGCTTCACTACTCAGTTCAATAATACAGAGAGCCCTTCCCAGGCCTTGTCTTGGTCTGGGGAGTTTATATTTGTAATTCCATGGAAAAGCTATTGGGATTTCAACAAGTTAATTCCAATCTACCACTTCCAGTGCAACCCCCGGTGAGAATGTTTACAGTTATGGGCAGCCACGGGGTCCTAAGTCCAGCCAGGATGAAGGCTGAATGGAACAAAAGCTCCTACCCAGAGCCCGACCCGGATTTTATTCATTTGTGAAGGGACTGGCTGGAGGATGAGTGACTGTGAGAATGGTGGGAATTACCTGAGTGCTGTGAGCTGGGCTAGGCAGGAGGCCAGAAAACCCCTCTGCAATATGCAGGGAGAAGAGCATGCAGCAAGACCAATCTGCATAGCACCGCTAAGGTAGCATCTAATGTGTTGGGGTCTGGTGTTTCAGCTCTGCTGTGCAAACCTTTTCTGCCCTGGGAAGTCACAGCCTCTTGTCTGGAGGCTCATCCCAGGTGACAGCCCTGGAGCCATGGCTTTTCATTCCACTAGGCTTTACCATGGTTTGATGGAGTCATGGAGGGGGGAAACAGGGACCGAGCTTCAAAGACTACACATCAGCACCTCAGCCAGCCCTATTTACATTGCTTAGACCAATTGAAGAGAAAAGGAAATGGCTTAGCCAGCTCTGTACCTATCAGTACATGGAGAGAGGGCCGGCTTTAGCCTAAGTGGAGATAACTGATCTTTGTTCAGGAAGTGTTGTCCAGGTGGTCCTCCAGCGTCTTCACCTTCTTGGTCCAAGTCATTCTCCTGCTGCCTACACACACAGCCCCAAAAATCCAAGGAGGCCTTGGGCCCTTGGACTTAGTCTTTTAGGAGGTTGTAACAAAAACGCCATAGACGAGAAAACCATAAACAATAGAAATTACTCATGGTTCTGGAAGCTGGAAAGTCCAAGATTAAGGGAAAATACAGTATTGATACCATCAGCCTCCATTGCTAAATATATAAACATGTTTTATTTTGGAGACGGTCTCACTATGCAGTTCAGGCTAGTTGGAACTCAACTGTACCCTATACTGGCCTCAAGCTCACAGTGATGCCTCAGCTCAGATTGCAGGTATGAGCCACTGTGCCCAGCTGCCCCCCCCCCCATTTATTGAGCACTTCTCCCTGCTTACCCCACAGGAATGCTTTGAATGAGGAAAAACATTCAGAGAGCTCAAGTGACCCTATTACAGAAACTAAGTCAGTTTGGCTCCAAAGTCCAGGCCTAATCCCTGCTCTCCACATGACCCAGAAGGTAAGGAACAGGTGTGGTTGCATAATTTTTGTCCACAATGGAAAACAATTTTATCAGTGCAAAAGATTGAGCCTCAGATCTCAGCACGACCCGGCAATTGCTTGTCCCTAGCGCTGCTGACTCTTCTGATTTCCGGGATCGCTTCCCACATACACAGCTGCGTCTCCTAAGTCTATGTCTTCACCTCTGCTTCCAACTGGACATGGCTGTAGGAAGGCGACGTTTGGGATGGGATTCGGGGACCTCATGACCTTTGGGTTCACTTGGCAGCAGAGGCCCCCAGTTGTGTGATCAGCAGAGGATGGCAAGTCCCTGTGTGCTTGGCACTGTGGTCCCACAAACAGACACTCCTGCTGCAAAGTGACATGGAGCACAGGGAGGAGAAAAACACTGCCATGTGAGTGGCCAGGACACAGCCAAACTGGGTTATAGGAAATTCTAGAGGTGTCAAATAAGCTGCTTACACCGGATGCCAGGAAACCTAGGAGGAAGAGAATGGCAGGCTGTCCCCACTGACCCACTGGACAGCATGCTGTGTGACAGCCAGACAGCCACCAGGTACATCCAAGCAGAGCCTCATCTCAAAGGAAAACTACTGAATACCAGTGCCAGGGTTTAACTGTAGAATGTCCCAGCTCCTAGAGGTGGAGCCATTATGGGAGGAGCGAGACCCTTTGTATTAGTCAGTTTTCTGCTACTGTGACAAATAGCAGAGGTAATGGAGTTATAAAGAGGAAAGGTTGGTCAGGCTCCTAGTTTCAGAGTTCCCAGGCCAT